TAAATAGCAAGATACATTAAGGAAACAAAGTGCAATAAGTATATAGAACTATATATAGTAAATAAATATAAAGCTACTAATTCTATATATATAGCATATAAGGGACTATATATAGCTAGAGACAATAGCTACCTTACCTACTATAGAGAGCTTAATAAGCTTTATAGCAGGAAAGGGCTAAGTTCTATTATAAAAATGGATAATAAAGGTAAATAGCAAACTGTTATATTTTAACGTAATTATAAAAAAGTCATTATAAGCAACGCTTAATAAAGAACATTTAAATTATTTTAACAAATGTGAATAAATAGTTAGCAGCCTAATTAAATATATTTAATAACTGCTTTTTAAAAAACTACTTAGTAATTCTTATTATTAAACTAAATATTTTTAATATTAATAATAAACTAGTTATTTACTAATACAAATATTAGAATGCTCTAGTGCCTTTTATAAAGTAGGTAGGCCCGCTTTATAAAGCATTCTAATTATTCCTTTTCATTTATAAAGATACTCCTTTAATATAGATACTAATAGACTTGCTAAACATAACTACTGTAGTTACTACTATAGAGGCTGGACCCCTCTTCCTTATATTAGTATACATTTTAAGCAAAAACTGACATTTTTACTCTAAATAAGATCTATATAAAAGCGTTATAATGAGGCTTTTAGCATTTAGCTATTCTATTAATATAGCAAAGTTGAAACATAGAGAGACTCTCCCTATTGTTATAAAAAAGGACTTTAACTAACATAACCTAATATAGAGTAGCTATAATATTCTTTAGATTTAATATTCTAATAAAGGGGAACCCATTCTTTAATAGATATATAAATATAATATATTCTTAGCATTTTTATAAAATATAGTTATATACTTAAAAAAAAAACTTTAAAACAATTATAGACTTTATACTAGTCTTCTAATCCCTCTAGTTCCAAACTGTTCAATGCAACTTATATTTTACCTAATATAGCTCTAATTATAAAGCTATTATTTTACGCTTTGTATGCTAATAAGTAAAGCTAATAGGTGAAGCAAAGTACAATTATAGAAAGACAGACTAGTTAAAAGTTAGCAATGCTATAGAAGTATAGATACTAGTATTATAAAACCTAGAAATATGCGAAAATGTAGATATAGTAGTATTAGACTTTTAAAACACAGTTAGAAGATATATTTATAAATATTACCCTTTTATAAACCTATCCCTATATATAAAGGCTTAATAGAATAATGAGTTAATAAAGCTACATAATATATATACGCAGTATAAGAATTAGGATACGTACCTTTATAAAGCAGGGCTTAATAAGACAGAAAGTAAGGCTAGAGCTAGAAGAACATAATATAGATTCTATATAGTAATTAAAGCAAAAAAACGCTCCTATTAAAACAAATTCTTAATAAAATCTAATAATATCTAAAAAGCTGCTAAGTATTTAAACCCGCAGCTTTTAGCCTTTAATACTATTCCCTTCCTAGTTACAAATAGAGAGGGACAGGAAGTAGAAGTTATAGAAGACTATAAAAAAGCAGCTATCTTAATCTCTACTTTCTTTCTACTTATTTTAAACAAATAGCGTAAAAACCTAAATAAGGAAGCTAATACTAATTTTAAAGACTTAGATATTATAATAAATAAAATTGCAGCTGCTTTATTTAAAATAAGCTTATTTAAAGCATTAAGAATTAATAATATACCTAATACTATATAAAAGAAAATATAGAAGTCAACTAGACAGCTAATTACTAGGATATTCAATGCCTTATACTAGCTAGAATATATACCTTAGATATAGAAAACAGCACGCATCCTCTTATTATAAAAATTAGAGAAACTAAACTATTGCGTACTAAAAGCGTATAGGCCTATCTCCCTCTTTCTAACTTTTAATAAGCTTATAAAGCTAGTTTTAGCTTAAAGGCTATTATACTAGGCAGAGACTTTTAACCTCTTATTAGCCATTTAGTTCGGAGCAAGGCTAAGGAGATTATATGACTAGGCTTTACTCCTCCTTATTAAGAAAATCTATAAAGCATTTACTTTCTAGCTACAGCGCTACAATAATAGTAAACAGATATAAGTCGGATATATTCCTATTAGCCAAAGCAGAACTTTTATAAAGATCTATATTAGCTTTTATACTATATATTTTCTTTAACGCATTCCTTATAGAGAAAAGAGTTAATAATAAAAAAGGTAATATAGGATTTATTAATAACTACTCTTAATAAGCTATATTAAACTTTATTAAACAGAATATAATAATACTTAATAAGAAAGTAGTTTTATAAGCCCTTTAATAAGTAAAAGATAGCAAAGCTACGTTCAAAAGCAATAAAATAATCCTTATATATTTCTCTTAGAACTTAAAGAAGCTAATAAATATATCTACTTCTCTTTAAATAGGACAATATGTAGTCCAGCTTTTTATAAAGGAACAAATTCTTAGCGTGATCTTTAACTTAAAGCTTCGCTTTAAGAATCACCTTACTAAAGTGAAGTCTAAAAGTTAGAAAAGTGCTAATTAATTTAAAAGACTAGAATATATTGCATTAAAAGCTGCGTATTAATTATACTTAATAACAATAGCGTTTAAAATAGACTATGTAGCCTCAGTCTAGTATATATAGTTTATAGGAAGCAAAGCTAATAATAGTATAAGCAAGATACTTAACCTAATCTATAGAATTAGAGCTTAGGCTGTAATGAAAAGCTTTAAAACAGTCTTAATAGAGACAGTAAGCGTAGAAGCAACTCTCCTCCTCCTCTACTTCTGTTTCTAACTAAAAATTAGCAAATTATAAATAGGACTATATTTCTTTTTAGACTTTAACTCTATTAAGACATATATATAAAAGCTCTAAATAGCTAGCAGTTTAAAAATATTTACTTTACTCTTTTAAAAAATCGAATTAGCATTAGGACGCTTAAGTGAATTAATTGAAATAATCCTAGTATAGAATACCCCTTTATAGGGAAAAGCAGCAATATAACTTAAGAACAGACTAGACACTCTAAACGCTGTATTTAGAAAATACTAATTTATAAAAGCAGAATAAATAAATATGTTTGCTAATAGCTTAATAGCTAATAGTAAAGTAAGTATAAAGCTAGCAGCATATAATAAGCGCCTAACCCTATTTACAATAAAGTCTAGCCTTATATATAATAATAACTACATTAATAGCATATTAATAAAGCTAGTAGCTATTTAAGTAGTAACTATATTAATTAATGTATATTTAGAGAATGCAGATATCCAACTACCTAACACCTTTTAGGCCACTATATAGTCAGATAGCAAAAAGGCAGTAGGTTACATTAAAGATAATTTGACCTTAGTTGCTTAGAGTATCTAAGCATATATAGATTATTAAGCCAAACTAGGCTGTCAGATCCTTATTGAATGGATTCTAAAGATAGCAAAGATTTTAAGCTATATAGTTGCTAATAAAGAAGCTAAAGCGTTAATTACATTTAATAATACTATAGCTAGCTATAAGCTTAACGTACTAGACAGTGTAGCTAAAGGATGGAACACGCTTAAGAAAGCTATTATCTATTAAGCTTATTAACATTAATAGAATACAGAAAGGAGCCTAAGAATAATAGATAGTGCTATTTTTAAAAAGTATATATTAGCTTTATATAACATTTTAAACAAAAAGAAAGCGTTTATATTAATATAGCTTTATATAGGTTATTTACGCTTTAATAGCTTCTTATATAAAATCAATATTATAAATATAAATTAATGTAAATATAAATAAGGTTTAGAAACTATCTGCTATTACCTAATGCTCTGCCCCTATTATAAGAATCAATATAGGATACTTATAAATAGACTTAGACTATAATATAGTAATATATTATATATAATAAAAAGTAGAGATGTGCACGCTCCTATTAGTAAATAGTATAGAAATAGACTAGTAAAGAAATGGAAACCTAATATCAGCGTAGTTAGGGAGATTATCTGGTTTATGCTTGACTTAGGTCAACTTAACTATAAAAAGGAGAGAAGGACGGAGGCTGCAGAGAAGGAACAGTTAGAGACTTTGAACAAAGAGGAATCTGAGGAGACAGACAAGGAAGAGGAAGAGGAGTAATTCTATATAATACTGGATAGAGCCAATACATTACAGGATAAAATCACCCTATAGAAGGCACCATTATCATTTTGAGCTATAGAATAGAGCAAGGATTTCATTAAATTACTAAATACATACTAGCGTCAGCTCGTCAGGGCTCATGCGACTAAGATGTCGCGCATAGCCAATTGAGAAAATCAAATCAAATCAAATCAAATCCCCTCGTCTTTTGCTGTTTGCAATATATTGAACTCATACAATGACTACATGTCTGTTATTGGCCCTGCAAATTGCGCTGCAGTGTCGACTGACAAAGTAGATAGTGAGAACCCGAGACTATCACGTCCAGTCAATGGACTATCCTTCTTTGGATATCGGACCACAGTGTGGCTACTTTGGTCGAAGAAATGCGAGTGCTGATACTTGGTGGTTAAGCAGTTGCTTATAGATATCTCCAGGTTCGATATTGCTAGATACCAGCTCCTTCAAGCACCATATGTGTAGGCACAGTGCTGAGCATAACAAAGAATGCCACAGCATAAGATCACTCGAATCCATGTTTGCGTGAACCGAGACGCTGCTGGACAGGACCCCACAATTATTATTGCTTGCCAGGAGCAAGTGATCTTCAACCCCCAGCTTGTCTCATTAAATAGAACGTGTACCTTACCTTAGTAGACATTTCAGACAGCCTCAAGCATACAATGCCACCCTCATCACCCTTTCGTCCAATCCATCTAACCCTCAGATCAATCCCTAACACTAGAATCTCGAACTGCCTTCTAGCACACCTGAAGTTGAACCGGCTTCCAAATCCACCATCACCTCTTCCTGTTCTATCTGTCTCGCCCTCTCACCCAATCGCTATCTTTCACATCAGCAGCCTATATCTCCAATAAGCTGAGTGGCGCAGCGGAAGCGCGGTGAGTTTCCTTCTGTTATTGCTGTCTGTCTTGCAATTACTGATATCCTTCACAGCCGGGCTCATAACCCGGAGGTCCCTGGATCGAAACCAGGCTTAGCTATGCATATTTTTTGGCAATTTATGTTCTAGTGCTTTAGGAAAAGGGCATGAGGTGGGAGAAGGATTTTGTTTCAGTCTGTAGAGGTTAGAGACATGGGAGTTGGGAAACAGAAACGATATTGCGATAGACGGGGAGGCAGGGAGTTTCAGAAGACTTGGAATCTCTCTTGTACCTTGAATTTCTCATTTCTCACTTTTGTGCAAGGTATTGCGCTGAGGAGAAGAAGAAAACACCATGGCTAATGCATCAGCAGCAGCAACTTTGCAGCTCTTTACAAATACAACAAAAAGGGGGGATCAAGCAAACAGGTGCATTACTTTTTCGACTTTTTCTTCTCCTTCTTCTCCTTCTTTCCTGCCTTTTTCCTTGCCTTTTCTTCTTCTGTTTGAGGAACCTCCTTTTGCGTGCCCTTGATCAGGGATTCCTCGATTTGCATGACGGCGTCTTCCTGACCTTTTAGGACTTGCTTGTCTTCTTCTGGCTCGAGGATTTGGGATTTCTTGCTTGCAGCTGCTGTTCCTTCCTTATCCTTTCGTCGTTTCTTCTCTCCACGGGGAGTGCTAGATTGTTCGGCGGCTTCCTTTTCATCGCGCTTTCGCTTTCGCTCCTTCTCCTTTTCGCTTTGTCGGAGGGCTGCTGGGGCTTTGAAGGCTACGGGTTCGGTCATGTCGATGTCTTCGTCTTCGCTTTCGTCGCTGCCTAGGATTGCTCCTGGGTCGCCGGCGCCGAAACCGAAGGGCTTATAGCGCATGCGAAGGCCCTTGGGCTGAGGTCTGGGTCCCTTATGTGGCTTTGGTCCCATGTTCGAACTGTCCAGTTCGGGAATGGAGATTACTTGTTGGAGGACGAGACTTTTTGATACGGGAAGTTCGGAGGGGTTGTAGCCCTTTTTGCCAGGCACGAAGATTTTCTTTGTGGTCTTGGACTCTTTCTCTTCGGCGAGAGTGTAGTCGGTGCCTTTGTGCGATAGGATTGATGATTGATTCTGGATCGAGGCAAGAGAGACGGACTGGATTTGTGAAATGAGTACTGAGGATGGCGCGGTGATGTGCCAGATTTGCTTTGACTCAGGGTTTGCAAGGAGTCGGTCGAGGGTCGTGGCATTGCTCTTTGATGTGTCGAGAAGCTTGTATCCAGCAGGTGGTTCGTAAGGTTGAGGTGCTACCGCCTTTGTTGGATCGACTGCTTGTGCTTGTGCTTGACGTTTGGCAGTCGAGCTGTATTCAGGCGCATCCTCCATGTCCTCATCGCTGCCATCCGATTCTTCTGCCGCTCCTGTCTTGGCCGACTCGTCCTCGTCGCTCTCCTCATCCGATGAACTGACAATATCCTTGCTCTTAAATACCTTTCCATTCGTGCTGACAGTAGCCGGCTCATTCTTCTTGCTAGTCTTCCCCGCCTTGAGCGTCTTCATAGCATCTCCATCATCACTGCTCTCCTCGTCATCGTCGCTGCTCTCGTCGCTGGAGTCATCGGGCACCGGGGGATCATTTGGTTCCGTCGCCTTGGCCTTCTTCACATTGGGCTTTTTTGTGCTCTTCTGTTTCTCTAGCTCGCTCTCGCTGTCACTTCCAGAGCTGCTCTCGCTATCGCTGCTGGAGCTGCTGTCCGAATCCTTGATGATTTCCTCGTGGTGTGGTGGCACTTTACGCGCCGTTTTAGATGCCTTTGGTGCCCTTTTGGGGTCTTCGCCTTTGACAGCTACCTTGGTCTCTTTGGTCTTGGCCATGCTGGTAGAATTTATTGGTTGTGTTTGTTGGAGATCGACTCAATCAGAATCTATGCCAAGGAAAATGCTCCGACTTGATCTGTCACTCTGAATGAATGAATGAACACAGGGAGAATGTACCCTGCTTGATATTATACAGAAGAATAAAAGTCGTGTCAAAAATTCAATCTCGAGAATACGCGCAGCACTCCAGAAATTTTGGTTAAAGATGCCCGCATCCTCATGGCCCGAGCGCTTGATCCGCGCCAAGACCTCCGAACCTTTTGCTCAAACTCCGCTCCGCAAAGTTCCCGATTAGGAGAGACATTTTTTTTTGTACAGCATATCATGGTCGCGTTGAACCACGTTATATCACATTCTAATCAATACGGTAATATCTGTTGAGAGAGATCATTTGCCTCTGCTATCCCAGGAAGGCGTAGACCACTGTCACATACAAACGGACTTTGATATGGTATTGCAGTTGGAAGTGGAGAAAACCTTGAATGCACACGAGACACTGTAGATAAACATGCAGAAGAAAAGGAAAGCTCAAGATGCTTTCATTGAGCCGAAACGTATGTAGAATCCTCTATATCAAGTCATCGTATTCATGTTGACTCGTAATAGCTCGTCTCAGTGCCTTTGCCGCGGCAAAAGCCAAAGCAGCACAACTACAATCGGCATCCTCCTCTGGAGACGATACTATATCAAATGTCTTGGTGTCAAAAACTCTCAATGATGCTGCGAATGACCCTACAAATCTCACTACTTTATTATCCAGTTTTCCGTTGAGCAGCACTCAAGAAGTTGCTTCGGAAGAGGATGATGATGATGGAAACGGAGCAGGCTATTCTTCCGATGATCAATTATGGACAGAGAGATCAAGCACCAAGTCTTACAGGGCATCTCAGCCACATCAGCTTTCTACATTTCGACCGACCAAATCCAATGTTTTATCTGATTCGCCACACCGACTAGTACTAAAACTCAAAGCTGATGAGACGGCAACGTTTGTCGGAGAATATGACCTTCAGGTCATCACTGGTATCGTCATGGTCTATGGAGCAGCCTTTCGGGCAGGAGATGTGCCTCACAGAGTATTTGCTCCGAGTACGCACGCTTTGCCTCCTATAACTGCCAAGGGCGGAGCTGCAGAGATTGCTATCATCTCCACAGGAGTATCAATGCAAGGATTGAGCAAGCTCTCTCCCCTATGGGGCAGGATCTGGAATGCCCGAGACCCCAAAGAAGGGGATGTAGATGAAGACATCGTAAAAGGCCGATCTTTTATGCTGGTGAGCCACCTTTTACCCTACCCCATGCTCTTTTCCTTCCGTTAATATCGAATAGCTCCGATCATCGACATCCGATCCACTCAAGCGTTCTCTCATGCCTCTAGAAGTAGAGCAGGATATTCAGTCTTCTCTCCGCCAGATCATCATCAGCCCGAAAACTTCTTCAACTCCAGCTATCCTAGTCTCCGGGCCCAAGGCTTCCGGGAAGTCGACAATAAGTCGCTGGCTGACAAACACCTACCTAACTTCCACGTCCCCACGACATGCTGCAAAGCCAACCTCCAACACAAATTCTCTTTCCACAACCTCCAATCTTAGCCCCTTCTCAAAAACATCCTTCTGGCTAGACCTCGACCCAGGCCAACCTGAATTCAGCGCTCCCGGCCAGGTTTCTCTGGTCCAACTTAACACGCCAGTATTGGGTCCACCATTCACCCACCCTACTGCTCAACACTTGATCCGCTCGCATACTCTGGCTTGCATATCCCCCAAAGAAGACTCGGACCATTTTATTGCCTGCGCTCTAGATTTGCTCTCGCACTACCTTCGCCTACGATCCTTTTCCTTCCCCGACGCTCCGTTGGTAGTGAATTGCAGTGGCTGGGTTCTCGGATCCGCAGTCGACGTGCTCCTACAATTAGTCCGAGGCTTTCCTATAACAGACGTAGTGCTCATGCAACCCATGGACACAGACGTCGTGCAAATGATCGAGCAAGCGATAAGTCCAAGAGGAAAAGTCCTCCTGGTGCCACAAAAAGAGATCAAACCCGTTCAATCAAGAACGAGTGCAGAATTCAGAGCCATGATGGGAATGTCGTATTTCCACTCATGCCCACCCCCGACTTCCTCACAACCAGAAGAGGGGTCAAGAACAAAAGAATCACACGTCTGGAACACCAACCCCCTATCCCACGTGCGCCCCTGGAAAATCTCCTACTCAGGCCCTACACCCGGCATCTTCGCCATCCTCTCCTACGGCGAAACTATACCCCCAGCCTTCCTCTCCACAGTCCTAAACAGCAGCGTGGTAGCCATTTGCGTGGTAGGAAACAACGTAGCGTTCCCCCATCTCGCCTCTCCCTACGACGCGAACTACAACGCGAACTACAATTCAACCTACACTACCCCCCGAGAAGAAACTGCCATCGAAAATCTCGTGGCCAGAACACCAGAAGACTTGCCCTATCTCCTCCCTGATCGCAGCGGCCTGATCGCCCCGCTCGACCCCAGTTTCTCGCGTTGTGTAGGGCTGGGATTGATCAGAGGTATCGATACGGAGAAGAAGGAATTGCATTTATTGACTCCTGTTTCAGCGGAGGAGATAGCAGAGATTACTGCGCCAGTCGAGGATACCGAGACTTTCGAGGATGATGGATGGGAGAGTGTAGGGGCGAGTGTAGGGGAGAGTGTAGGGGAGAGTGTAGGGGAGAGTGTAGGGGAGACTACAAGACCAGCCGAGAGCAAAAGAAAGAACAAAATCGTGCTCGTCAGAGGCAAATTCGATAGTCCGGACTGGGCATTGCTGGAAGATGCGTATGCGGGGATCGAGGTCGATGTCGATGTCGGAAGACCGTATGTAGCGGAGCGCAAGGCGGATGGGTCGAGGGGTCTGGGAGGCAATGTTTGGAGGGTTAGACATTTACCTCGGAAGATGGGTGGTGGTGGTGGTGGTGGTGGTGGTGGTGGATGAGATCTGTCAAGATCGGAGCGAGTGTCACGGATGGTGAATCACGGATGGTGAATCACGGATGGTTTGTTTAGTGTTAGGAAACAACCATCTTTCTGTACATTTCTCTACCTCTCTCTCTCTCTCTGCTCTCGATGGCAGAGGTTTGGTTCATGGGATGGAATCTACAGATACAGTAGCCGCTCCTAACGGCTTATTCTCCTCCTTTCTCTCATCACGGTTTGTTTGTTGCCGTGGAGAAGGTTGTGTAGATTACCGCTCGCTCCCTTGCTCTCATCTTCATGCTCGTGCTTTCGTCTGCTTGCGC